ATGCAAGATAATCAGTCTCTCAGCCTTGATGCAAGATAATCAGTCTCTCAGCCTTGATGCAAGATAATCAGTCTCTCAGCCTTGATGCAAGATAATCAGTCTCTCAGCCTTGATGCAAGATAATCAGTCTCTCAGCCTTGATGCAAGATAATCAGTCTCTCAGCCATGATGCAAGATAATCAGTCTCTCAGCCTTGATGCAAGATAATCAGTCTCTCAGCCTTGATGCAAGATAATCAGTCTCTCAGCCTTGATGCAAGATAATCAGTCTCTCAACCTTGATGCAAGATAATCAGTCTCTCAGCCCTGATGCAAGATAATCAGTCTCTCAGCCTTGATGCAAGATAATCAGTCTCTCAGCCTTGATGCAAGATAATCAGTCTCTCAACCTTGATGCAAGATAATCAGTCGCTCAGCCTTGATGCAAGATAATCAGTGTGTCAGCCTTGATGCAAGATAATCAGTCTCTCAGCCTTGATGCAAGATAATCAGTCTCTCAGCCTTGATGCAAGATAATCAGTCTCTCAGCCTTGATGCAAGATAATCAGTGTCTCAGGCATGAACAGATGCATGTAGCTACAAGCTTAAACTGGAAAGTGATGTGTATCAGCATGGAGATGAGGACACAGGTAAGCTGGGTCCTCTAGTGGAAATTAATCATGCTAAACAGTTGTCAGCAACAAAGTTGCTAGTGGCATAGCTTCAAAAGTTCAAAAACGATGCCCCAAAAAAATCGACCTCGGCGGAGAGTGAAATTTAGATGTGTTTACCTGGAGTTTACCTGGAGAGAGTTCCGGGGGTCAACGCCCCCGCGGCCCGGTCTGTGACCAGGCCTCCTGGTGGATCAGAGCCTGATCAACCAGGCTGTTGCTGCTGGCTGCACGCAAACCAACGTACGAGCCACAGCCCGGCTGATCAGGAACTGACTTTAGGTGCTTGTCCAGTGCCAGCTTGAAGACTGCCAGGGGTCTGTTGGTAATCCCCCTTATGTATGCTGGGAGGCAGTTGAACAGTCTCGGGCCCCTGACACTTATTGTATGGTCTCTTAACGTGCTAGTGACACCCCTGCTTTTCATTGGGGGAATGTTGCATCGTCTGCCAAGTCTTTTGCTTTCGCAGTGAGTGATTTTCGTGTGCAAGTTCGGTACTAGTCCCTCTAGGATTTTCCAGGTGTATATAATCATGTATCTCTCCCGCCTGCATTCCAGGGAATACAGGTTTAGGAACCTCAAGCGCTCCCAGTAATTGAGGTGTTTTATCTCCGTTATGCGCGCCGTGAAAGTGGGAGCAGATCTGGCAGTTTTATTTGCAAAATAATGTGAGAATTTTTTTCCCATTAAATCCTGTTAAATAATTTCCAGATTACCTCTTCTGAACTGTTTCACTATTTGGTGGGCGATATGATAACGACGTACGAAATATTGAGAGGAATTGACAAGGTGAACAGGGACAGAATGTTTCCGATATGGGAAATATGATTAAGTTGACAAAACTGGAAGTTGAATACTCAGGTGAGTCAGTAGGATGTTAGGAAGCAGTTCTTTAGCCTTAGAATTGTCAGGAAGTGGAACAATCTGGAGAGTAAAGTGGTAGAAGAGAGATATATACAAAGCTTTAGTTATGATAAGGGTCTTTAAGCGGGAGAAAGTGACCTAGTAGCGACTAGCGAAGAGGCGGGGCCAGGAGCTGTGAATTGACCCCTGCAACCACATATAGGTGAGTACACACACAAACGCGCGCACGCACACGAGAGAGAGAGAGAGAGAGCATTTTCTTAGACTGTAAGAAAGCTCTCGACAGTTCTGCACAAGAGATTAGTACAAAAGCTAGAGGAGCATGCAGGAAAAACAGGGAAGACGCTGCAGTGGATCAGAGAATAGCTGACAGGAAGGAAAAAACGAGTGATGGCACGTGACGAGGTGTCAGAGTGGACGCCTGTGACGAGAGGGATTCCACAGGGGTCAGTCCTAGGACCAGTGCTGTTTCTGGCATATGTGAATAACATGGCAGAAGGGATAGTCAAAGTGTCCCTGTTTGCAGATGATGTGAAATTAATGAGGAAAATTCAAACTGATGATGATCAGGCAGGACTACAAAGAGATCTGGACAGACTGCATACCTGGTCCAACAACTTGCTCCTGGAGTTTAACCTCACAATTACAAAGTTATGAAGATTGTGGAAGGTCAAAGAAGACCGCAGACAGAGTACAGGCTAAGGGGGGACACAAAGGCTGCAAGCCTCACTCAAGAAAAAGGATTTTGGGGTGAGTATCATACCGAGCACATCTGAGTTGCACATCAACCAAATAACTGCTGCAGCATATGGGCGCCTAGCAAACCTAAGAATATCGTTTCGACAGCTAAGTAAGGAGTTATTCAAGACAATGTACACTGTGTACGTCAGGCCCATATAGGAGTATGTAGCACCAGCATGGAACCCACACCTGGTCAAGCACGCCAAGAAATTAGAGACAATGCAAAGGTTTACAACTAGTCTTGGAGCTAAGAAGTATGTTCTAAGAGAAAAGGTTAAAGGAAATCAACCTGACGACACTGGAGGATAGGAAGGATAAGGGGTACATGATAACGACGTATAAAATACTGATATAAATTGGTAAGTTGTTAAGGGACCACGACTCTTCATCACCTTCCCTTTATGCATGAGGCATAAGGAGAATCACCAACAGGCCCCTATTATCTGTCATCTAGAGGGAACTCAACAGATTCCTCAAAACAGTTGTGGTGCATACTTTGGACTACGGGCTGCGAATACTAACAATTTGATCGATCAGGCCAACAACCAGAAGGCCTGTCTGGGACCGGGCCGCGGGGGCGGTGACCCCCTCCATTAATCCAACAATTTCAAGTTTTTACGTGTCATTAAAATTTATAATTTGCTTTTAAACAGGGTAAACTTACAGTGTTATCAGCGTTAATATTTTGAACTCAATCAGACGAGGTTTTTTTTTAGTTATTTAATGATAATTACTATCACTACTTATTAAATAAAATTGTAACTTTTGCTGGACAATAACAACGTGAACTTTGATCTCTAGGAAACACACCAGGGCTGAAAAATTGAAGCCGATCGAAAGAGTCATTCTCCAGTTCTCGCACTGATGCCAACTATTCTAAGTTTTACAAATTAATTTATTAACTAGACAAATCTGCCCGTGCACAAACTAGCGTAATGGCTACTTACTCTCCTGGCTGTAAAATATGTCACACATAATATATTGAGTCATTCAGAAGACCACAATGGAAATAAGTCACTTTGACTTTGTTGGGTTATCCGGGGTTCACTATACATTATTATTATTATTATAATCAAGGGGAAGCGCTAAACCCGGAGGATTATACAGCGCCTGGGGGGGGGGGATGTGGAAGGCATTCAGGCTTAATTCGGGGAACTGGAGCACAGATCCAATTCCCTAAATCAAGAGCCCCTCACCAACATCAAGGAACCATCACTATACATAAGCTGCTATGTATGATAATCTATATAACTGTGTATACCTGAATAAACTTATTAGCTAGACCCAATTATTTTTTTAACGTGATTTAACGAGAATAAAAATTTCTCACTTTTTAATACATAAAACTGGCATGTGTAGGCCTACACATGTGTAGGCCTACATGTTTGAATCTCAATTCTCCGTCATTATGGAGTCAGTAGGCATTGTCTTCGAAGGTTTGAAGATATGTAGATTTTTTTTTGTAGGTTCTGAGAACCATTCCAGGAGGCTGTGACTAGATCCTTCAGTTTGGTCACAGTGCACTGTGACCAGTTACAGTGCACTGTGACCAGTTACAGTGCACTGTGACCAAAGTTACAGTGCACTGTGACCAAAGTTACAATGCACTGTGACCAAAGTTACATTGCACTGTGACCAAAGTTACAGTGCACTGTGACCAGTTACAGTGCACTGTGACCAAAGTTACAGTGCACTGTGACCAGTTACAGTGCACTGTGACCAAAGTTACAGTGCACTGTAGGTTCCAGTGACAGAAGTCTGGTCCTAGTTACCCTACATTAGTGCTATAAATTTGAATCTCATTAGCTGAGACTTTCTGGTGTTATCAGATAAGTAAAAGCACTTACAGGTCCCCCTTGAGGGGACACCAAGTGATATATTATATACTTTGTTAAGACTACAGCATGTAGAACTTAACCTGGGATGACCCAACACACTCGAATACTCTTACGGATTTCCACCGTTGTTATATATTCCACCGAACATATATGGCAGCGGGATATTAATGGTGGTGTGTGCTTAAAAAACTAGAAAGACCATTAGAGCGGATAACGGACAACAAGGTTGGAAGAGCCAAGAAAAACGGAGTTGAGAGAGAAGAAGAACTGTAAGATAAGAAAGTTGTCTAGGTGTCCGTCACGCCTCCAGCAGCTCATCCTGTATATTGCAAATCAATATTCTTCACTATTGCTAATATATTTTGTACACAATATTTGTCAAATAAAATTTTATCTAATATTTTTGATAAAGAATATTTTACACGAAGGCTGGCAGGTTGTAGAGATATTAATGGAACCTTAACTTGAGCACACAGGTCTTAGAAGGTAATTCCAGGTGTGAAATATTTGATTATATTAAATGTAATTGACCTATAGTGATATTTTTATTTATTTATTTTTGATTTTGTATGTTTATTTTATAGAAATGTATATTTCTAAGGGGTCCATGGGGCATAGGGTAATTTATTGCTCCACATGAATTTAAAATAATTCATAATTCAATTGGAGTATGTTCGGATATCACCCATTTTAATCATATGCATATTACTTAACTAATATAAATAAAAATAATACAAAACAAGAAAAAACGCAAATAACGACCTTGGGCGGATAAGGTGATGGAATAATGAGACATTCGCGGAATTAATATACTAATATGCCGGGATCAAATTAATTGATATAAGGTTATTAGAATCGGACAATCTGTAAACAATGGCGGCGTTGATCATGGAGGGTGAGAATGTGGAGTGTTGCAAGCCCTTTGTTACGCATAATTACCTTCTTCACACACGATAACCCCATGATTCCCCGCTCCTCATTTGCATCTCCTTGACAAGGGCACAGGGCTCTGGGGAAGTTTTTTAAATTGGTAAATAAAAAAAAAATTTAACTACCTCCGGGAGTGTAATTCCGTGATGCCTCCGAAAGGTATTAGCAAAACAGTGAGCAAGAGGTGTCCCGAGTGTAGGAGGCAGGTGAGCCGCCTTATTTCACTATATTGCTTCCCCTTTTAACCCTTTTTTTCAGTCATTGGCCGCCGCTGAATGTCGCCAGATGGCTTATAAGTTGCCCGCAGGTTTTAGAGGGTTTTTTGAGGTGTATATTTGAGGTTTTGTGAGGCCCCCCCCCCCGGGTGAGACACTGTAGGCCTCCACACAACAATACCCTCACAGTAGGCCTGAAAAAGTTGAAGTACCGCTGGAATAAAAGTAAATTTTATTTATGACTTACTGCAACATGTTGCCGTTGATAAATTAGACACATGTGCAACATTTGGGTGTCTGTATATGACTGATAAGTCACTCTGGCGAAACTGTTTCCTCAATAAAGATGACCAAAGTGTTGCACGTGTGTCTAATTTATCAACTTGTCGATTTTCTGAGCCATTTGTCTACATGTTGGTCGTTGTTGTCTTGGTAGTGTGAAGTGGAGTGACACAGGTGTGATGCCAAGCATATAGTGACTTATGAAACCTGATATGTACATAATAACTATTACTATAGTATTAATATATTGCATGGCTACTGCCAGAAACATTATATAAGAGAAACACATCAGTGGAGAGTTATTGCTTCAACACACTTCATCCTTGTCAAGAATATATTGGTGAATTTAACAAGAAGATATTCAAGTATTTTATTGTAAATATTTGCTACTGAGTTAGGAGGAGGTGTGGAGTTACTAAAAGTATTTGTCAGAGGGCTGAGGAGGGCTTGTTGAGGTTGTTTGGTCATTTAGAGAGGAAGGAGTAATGCTATGCTAATGCTATGAGTAATGCTATGCTAATGTAATGCTATGCATAGTATAAGTGGCTTTGGCATACTGCTCTTATCTGTATTTTTTTGTACCTCTGTATGTGTGCACAAATTGGAAATAAATAAATAAATAAATATGAATCTGTAGTGGAGGGGAGGAGGGGGTAGGGGTCATCCTAGGAAAGGATGAGTGGAAGGGGTGAAAGGGGTTTTGTGTACAAGGGGCTTGGACATACAGCAGTATGTGTGAGCATGTTAGGAGTGAATGCAGACGAATGGTTTTTGGGATTTGACGAGCTGTTGGGGTGTCAGCAGGGAAATATTTTGTGAAGGGATTCAAGGAAGCTGGTTAGCCTCCAGGTTAGTCCTGGAGGTGGGAAATACAATGCCTGCACTTTAAAGGAGGAGTTTGGGATATTTGCTATTTGGAGTGATATCTAAACTGTAGTATGTGGCTGGCTTTGTAAAGACAGTGATATGTGTTAAAATAATAATAATAATATGTGTGAATGATGGTGAAAGTGTTTCTCTCTTTTTTGGGTCAACCTTCCTTGGTGGGACACGGCCAGCGTGTTAAAAAAAAAAATTATACACCTGTTATCATCACTACACATTATACACCTGTTATCATCACTACACATTATACACCTGTTATCACTACACATTATACACCTGTTATCACTACACATTATACACCTGTTATCATCACTACACATTATACACCTGTTATCATCTCTATACATTATACACCTCTTATCTTTTGAGCAGGTACCGGTAGCTACCAAGCACTGCCACTGTGGTCACCAGTTCTTTGAAGAGCGTCGCAGATCCACAACATCAAACCCCTCGGAGGTAGAAGAATTAGACGAAAGTACACTCAAAGACATGAAACCTACCCGCAGTGTAACCACATCTAGCTCTGTTAGTGGACTGATAGCCATGGCATCGTCTGTGGGGAAGGGAGACCTGGGATCACCAGCACCTGAGGGAAAACGTCGCAGTGAACGAGTCAAGAGAGAAAAACCCAATTTCTACGATGCCTTGGAATATGACAATCAGATGAGAAAGGTTAATTATCATTCATTGTTCTGTTTTACTTTTATTTGTTAACCCTTAAACGGTCCAAACAGATCAACATTCAGATCCGTAGTGCTCCAAAAGTAGATCTATGTTTTTTTTACATATTTTCAAATATAACAAAAAAATGTAGATAAAAGTTTTTTTTACACATTTTCAAATGTAAAAAAAAAAAAATGATGTACATTTTTTTACATACGTGTACAGTGGTCCCTCAATAATCGTCCGGCCTGAAAGTCGTCCATTTCGGAAATAGTCCTGTTTTTTCGTCAAAATATTGGCTCGCAAATGGTCCAGTAACTCGCTAATAGTCCTAATAGTCCTTCGTCCCGGACGCGTACTCACGCTCTGAGCCACCTCGGCCTTTCCTTCCCAGCCAGTGTGCCATTGTTTACCAGTGAGTGACGGTCCCCTCGCATGCTCCTACGAAATATTTCATAATGTTCCATTGATTTTAGTGCTTGCAAGTGCTAAATAAGCTACCATGGCTCCAAATAAAGCTTCTAGTGCCAGCCCTTTGGTAAAGAATGTGAGAAACACATAATTTATGAAAAAGTTTGTAGAAAAATACAAAGATGGTGGTGGTTCATTACCTCTGTAACTTGCTCAGCTATCAAAACTTTGGAGTCCAGTCCCTGGACCAATTATGTACCTCTGTAATCTTTTGACTACCGCCCACAGGATGGGTATGGGGTGCATAATAAACATATTAAACTAACTTAAACTAACTAGAGTGGAAGCAGTTGTGAGAGTGGTTGATGAACATAAGAAAGGAGGATCACTGCAGCAGGCCTGTTGGCCCATGCTCGGCAGGTCCTTTACAATTCATCCCACTAACGAAACATTTTCCCAACCCAGTCCTCAATGCTACCCAAGAAATAAGCTCTGATAACTCTATCCACTCATTTGCAAGTCTCACTCAAATCGAACAGCTGTGTAGGCGAAACGTTTCGAGATAAAGATACCTAACTGTTGCATATGTCTTACCTAACAACATTGGACGAGTTGTAGATGAATGGTTCAAAGAACCGACATGTGTCTAATTTAACATTGGAGGAGTTGATTGGTGAACATTTAACCAACTCCACCTTCACCACCATTATTGACAGCTTACACTCAGTGGCCCTTATATACCCAACAACAACACAACACATACGTAATGACTTACTTTATTCATTCTAGAGTATATTCCATGTTTCTATGTTATTAATATTGTTTATTATGTCATATTAGTTGAATTGTGATAGATAAATAAGCCATAGAGTTGATATTAGTGTCATATTCTCCAACAATAAACTTGCCATTCCTCCCTCACACAAACAAATAGCCAATAAGAACATAACAATGGAAGAACACTGCAGGTCTACTGGCCCATACAAGGCAGGTCCTTATCAAAATGACCTCCACCCAAAGCTACCCAAGAATTTACTCACATACCCAATGACACAAATCAAACTCAGCTCCTCCAACTCGTATATTTGTCCAATCTCTTCTTAAAGCTACCCAAGGTCCTAGCCTCGATCACCCTACTTGTAAGTGTGATGTTAAAAAAGAAATTAAGAAAGTAGGAACACTGGAACAGGCCTGCTGGCCCATACTAGGCCGGTCCTTCACAAATCCAACCCACTAACAGAACAAATGCTACCCAAGCAATAAGCTCAGGTGCAAGTCCGACTCAAATCCAACCCCTCTCACTCGTGTATTTATCCAACCTAAATTTGAAACTACCCAATGTTTTAGCTTCGATCACCCTACTAGGCAGACCGTTCCACTCATCAACTACCCCTATTACCAGTGTTCATTTATACATTTTATTAGTGCCCTAGAGTCTGTATGGAGGGGGATTCCCCTTCCAAATAACCTCTCTTCCCTCTCTCCTCCTCCCTGTCTTCCATTCATCAACAACAGCCTTCAATAAAGGTAACTGTCATGTTGAATGTTCGTTCTTTTGTGCATGTAAATCTATCTTTTAGGTAAAAAAAAAAATTTTTGTTGATATTTCTGGGTGTCTGGAACGAATTAATTGGATTTACATTATTTCTTATGGGGAAAATTTATTCGAAAATCGTCCATTTCGATAATAGTCCCACTTCCAGGAACGGATTATGGACGATTATTGAGGGACCACTGAACTTTCAAATGTTGAAAAAACGTATATATACGTTTGGACCGTTTAGGGGTTAAAGTGCAAAAGTATTATACAGATGGGCCTTGCTGTACGGTGTTCCACTAATGCAGCAGTTTTCAATTATACCCATTCTTCATTTATTCAGACTTCCTACAATAAATATATTTACTACTAATAACTGTAACCTAAGGATGAATATATTTTAAGGTAAGTAATATGTGCACTGTATATGCATTTTGTAGGCTTGGCTCTATTGCTCACATACTATTATCATAGTATAGACATGTTATCAGGCTTCTATATGCATTTGAAAGTATAAAAAAAATAAGAAGGCTGTTTCACTTTACAGCAATTTTTGCTTTACAGTAGCAGCCCAGGACCTAATCTGCTATATACTAAGTGGGGCCATCCTGTATAGTGATGTTGGAGTACAACAGAGAAGTGATGAAACTGCATATTAGAAATGAACCACTGTACATGTAAGAGAGTAAAATTTTGAACAAATCATTTTAAACACAATGAATAGTTAAAATGTTTTCAAGCAACATAAAAATCTTGATGTGTTCTTTTTAAAAGATGATTTTATTTGTATTATTATTTACTTTGTTTTCTGAATAATGTAATTATTTTTTATGATACACCAGCCATCTTCCACCAAGGCAGGGTAACCTGAAAAAGAGGAAAAACTCACTGTCATTTAATAATTGTCTTGCCAGAAGAATATTTACATCATCGTTCAGATGACCCTCTGAACTTCAGCCTCATCACTCTTCTTTCAGAGTGCAAGCAAATTACTTCCCATCTCCAGGACTCAAGTCTGGCTAACCTGTTTCCCTGAATACCTTGATAAAAGTTAACTTGCTCATACCCATCTAAACTGCAGGCACTCAAAACTTCCTTAACCCTGTGTAACATTTGGGGTATCTTTATTATCAACAATAAAGATGCCCAACTGTTGCATATGTCTTAGTTATCCATGTATTTTTTTTATGCCTGGTTCTCATGCATATATAGTAGTCTTATATGCATGAAGTTCTCAGGCAGTATAAATAATTAAAAACTGCATTTTTTGTAGAATTTTAAAAGTCCTAGTTTATTAATTCTGGTTTACCTGTTGTGGATTTCGGGGTCATCACCCCATGGGCAGGTCCCAGACCAGGCTTCCTGATTGATAGCCTTACTAGTCAGGTTGTTCATGCTAGCAAATTGTAGTCCAGTGTAGATACTACAGCCCACCTGATCAGGAACTGACGCTATGAATGTGATTCTTACTTCAAAATTTGTACATTTTAGGCAAGAAAAGAAAGACAAAAGGAGGAGCCGCCCAATCCAACAGGAAGGGTGAAGCGTGAGCGGAAAGTCAAGAACAACTCAGAGCCGGTTAGTGTTGCAATATACCGGTACAACAAGGTCAGTATCAGATGCAATGGGAGGCGGAGAGTGTCCCAAAAAGTGAACACTTCATTGAATCCAGATGTGTGGAACCAGTTACTGTACTTCATTTCAAAATTTTGGAATGTCAAGTAACTATAAAGCAATGATAAGATTTATTAATCCCCCTTATTAACATTTTAAATTTCTAGCATTATACTATGGTACAGAAAAGAAAATATGTATACCAAAGAAAAACTGTGTTGTGCATTATTATGAAATGCATCTCATTAGGTTGAAGGACTGCAATGAATGTATTACGTTGTTGTTAAAATAAGTTAGTTACAGTACAGTATAATGAATTTTACTCTATGGTATATCCAGTATCTTCTGCTTTGTAACTTTCCTTCAGACACTCCCAGACCATCACTTTAAGACGTATTTTTTACCTCTTTGGGACAATCTCCAACCTCATTCAAAAATCTTGTATTTCTTGTTAATGTGTCCTTTCACTATGGTGTTGAACATTGGACTAGATTTATAATATGATTTTACTAATGTATGATTTTACTAAAGTATACATATATACATGTATGTATGTGTGTGCTTGCATTCGTGCATGCATGTGTGTTAATATGCAGCTTCATTTATTTAATTACAGTGGTCTTTATATTGTGAACTCACTATGTACACACACAGGTATGCATGCATGTATTCATGCACAGATGTTCACGCAGGACTTAATGTACACCATAAAGCAGGCATGGAATCTCAAGCTATATCTGGACCTTAAGCCATGAGTTGGCAGCATGTTTGAATTTGATCCTTATAGTAGTATTTTACTTAGAGTTTTTGTGTAACTGTTATGCAGACATGTTAGACAAAATTGATTTTCCAACAAATTATAAAAGTTGAGAAATATATTTTTTAAGAATTCAGATGTTCCTATGCAAGAACCGTGTAAATACAGACCAAATATCATTACCCTGGCTAGACTGAAACTTGCTGCAGCTGGACATCCCTATGCCTGCTCTAAATGACTGAACTCTTTGTTTACTGATGCAGGTGGGGAAGTCATTCTTTTAAGTTCTTTTTTTTTTTTTTTTTTTTTTTTTTTTTTTCAACAAGTCGGCCGTCTCCCACCGAGGCAGGGTGACCCAAAAAAGAAAGAAAATCCCCAAAAAAGAAAATACTTTCATCATCATTCAACACTTTCACCACACTCGCACATTATCACTGTTTTTGCAGAGGTGCTCAGAATACAACAGTCTAGAAGCATACACATATAAAGACACACAAACATATCCCTCCAAACTGCCAATATCCCAAACCCTCCTTTAAAGTGCAGGCATTGTACTTCCCATTTCCAGGACTCAAGTCCGACTATATGAAAATAACCGGTTTCCCCTGAATCCCTTCACTAAATATTACCCTGCTCACACTCCAACAGATCGTCAGGTCCCAAGTACCATTCGTCTCCATTCACTCCTATCTAACACGCTCACGCACGCTTGCTGGAAGTCCAAGCCCCTTACCCACAAAACCTCCTTTACCCCCTCTCTCCAACCCTTTCGAGGACGACCCTACCCCGCCTTCCTTCCCCTATAGATTTATATGCTTTCCATGTCATTCTACTTTGATCCATTCTCTCTAAATGACCAAACCACCTCAACAACCCCTCTTCTGCCCTCTGACTAATACTTTTATTAACTCCACACCTTCTCCTAATTTCCACACTCCGAATTTTCTGCATAATATTTACACCACACATTGCCCTTAAACAGGACATCTCCACTGCCTCCAACCGTCTCCTCGCTGCTGCATTTACCACCCAAGCTTCACACCCATATAAGAGTGTTGGTACTACTATACTTTCATACATTCCCTTCTTTGCCTCCATAGATAACGTTTTTTGACTCCACATATACCTCAACGCACCACTCACCTTTTTTCCCTCATCAATTCTATGATTAACCTCATCCTTCATAAATCCATCCGCCGACACGTCAACTCCCAAGTATCTGAAAACATTCACTTCTTCCATACTCCTCCTCCCCAATTTGATATCCAATTTTTCTTTATCTAAATCATTTGACACCCTCATCACCTTACTCTTTTCTATGTTCACTTTCAACTTTCTACCTTTACACACATTCCCCAAACTCATCCACTAACCTTTGCAATTTTTCTTTAGAATCTCCCATAAGCACAGTATCATCAGCAAAAAGAAAACTGTGTCAATTCCCATTTGAATTTGATTCCCCATAATTTAATCCCACCCCTCTCCCAAACACCCTAGCATTTACTTCCTTAACAACCCCATCTATAAATTAATTAAACAACCATGGTGACATTACACATCCCTGTCTAAGACCTACTTTTACCGGGAAATGTCTCCCTCTCTTCTACAACACCCAAAACCTGAGCCTCACTATCTTCAAAAAAAAACTCTTTACACATTTAATAACTTCCCACCCTATTCCATATACTTGCAACATCTGCCACTTTTCCCTCCTTTCTATCCACTCTATCATATGCCTTTTCAAAATCCATAAATGCAATAAAAACTTCCCTACCTTTATCTAAATACTGTTCACATATATGCTTCATGTAAACACTTGATCTAAACATCCCCTACCCACTCTGAAACCTCCTTGCTCATCCGAAATCCTAATTCTGTCTTCCCTCTATTCTTTCAATTATAACCCTACCGTAACACTTTCCTGGTATACTCAGTAAGCTTATTCTCATAATTTTTACAGTCTCTTTTGTCCCCTTTCCCTTTATTTTAAAGGGACTATACATGCTCTCCGCCAATCCCTAGTACCTTCCCCTTTCATACATTTATTGAACAAAAGTACCAACCACTCCAACACTATATCCCCCCCTGCTTTTAACATTTCTGTCATGATCCCATCAGTACCAGCTGCTTTACCCCCCTTTTTATTTTAAAGTAATGCCTCACGTACCTCCCCCACACTTAAAATTCTGCTCTTTTCACTCCTAAAAGATGGTATACCTCCCTGACCAGTGCATGAAATTACTGCCTCTGTTTCTTCCTTAACATTTAAAAAATTCCTCAAAATATTCTCGCCATCTACCTAATACCTCCATCTCCCCCCTCTACTAACTCCCCTACTCTGTTTTTAACTGACAAATCCATATTTTCCCTTGGCTTTCTTAACTTGTTTAACTCACTCCAAATTTTTTCTTATTTTCATTAAAATTTCTTGACAGTGCCTCTCCCACTCTATCATCTGCTCTCCTTTTGCACTCTCTCACCACTCTCTTTACCTTTCTTTTACTCTCCATATATTCTGCTCTTCTTATAACACTTCTGCTTTGTAAAAACCTCTCATAAGCTACCTTTTCTCTTTTATCACACCCTTTACTTCATCATTCCACCAATCACTCCTCTTTCCTCCTGCACCCACCCTCCTATAACCACAAACTTCTGCCCCACATTCTAATACTGCATTTTTAAAACTATTCCAACCCTCTTCAACCCCCCCATTACTCATCTTTGCACTATCCCACCTTTCTGCCAATAGTCGCTTATATCTCGCCCGAACTTCCTCCTCCCTTAGTTTATACACTTTCACCTCCCTCTTACTTGTTGTTGCCACCTTCCTCTTTTCCCATCTACCTCTTACTCTAACTGTAGCTACAACTAAATAATGATCCGATATATCAGTTGCCCCTCTATAAAAAATGTACATCCTGGAGCCTACCCATCAACCTTTTATCCACCAATACATAATCTAATAAACTACTTTCATTACGTGCTACATCATACCTTGTATATTTATTTATCCTCTTTTTCATAAAATATGTATTACTTATTACCAAATTTCTTTCTACACATAGCTCAATTAAAGGCTCCCCATTTACATTTACCCCTGGCACCCCAAATTTACCTACTACTCCCTCCATAACATTTTTACCCACTTTAGCATTGAAATCCCCAACCACCATTACTCTCACACTTGATTCAAAACTCCCCACGCATTCACTCAACATTTCCCAAAAACTCTCTCTCTCCTCTACACTTCTCTCTTCTCCAGGTGCATACACGCTTATTATAACCCACTTTTCACATCCAATCTTTATTTTACTCCACATAATCCTTGAATTAATACATTTATAGTCCCTCTTTTCCTGCCATAGCTTATCCTTCAACATTATTGCTACTCCTTCTTTAGCTCTAACTCTATTTGAAACCCCTGACCTAATCCCATTTATTCCTCTCCATTGAAACTCTCCCACCCCCTTCAGCTTTGTTTCACTTAAAGCCAGGACATCCAGCTTCTTCTCATTCATAACATCCACAATCATCTCTTTCTTATCATCTGCACAACATCCACGCACATTCAGACTTCCCACTTTGACAATTTTCTTCTTCTTATTCTTTTTAGTAATCTTTACAGGAAAAGGGGTTACTAGCCCATTGTTCCCGGCATTTTAGTTGACTTTTACAACACGCATGGCTTACGGAGGAAAGATTCTTATTCCACTTCCCCATGGATATAAAAGGAAAATTAATAAGACCAAGAACTATTAAGATAAAATCAAAGAAAACTCAGATGAGTGTGTATGAATAAATGTGTATATGTATGTGTAGTGTGACCTAAGTGTAAGTAGAAGTAGCAAGACATGCCTGTAATCTTGCATATTTATGAGACAGACAAAAGACATCAGCAATCCTACCATCATGTAAAACAATTACAGGCTTTCGTTTTACACTCACTTGGCAGGACGGTAGTACCTCCCTGGGTGGTTGCTGTCTACCAATAACTTATCAATCACCAAACTGCCACAAAGACTGCCAACTCACTTGACCTCATATTTTACACCCAATTCTCAATCTCTGCTGGGATGCTTTCCTGAGAAATGATATGTAGAGCAGTTTCACACTAACTCTTACTTTCTGCCCTCTCCCCCTCCCTCATTTCCAAATGACTAACCCTTATATGACTATGGATTTTTTTTTTAATGTGTACAGTGTGTTTTATTTACCACAAAAACTTCTCACAATTTAA